TGCCGTTACTTCAGGCAAGGCTTTACTTCTGTTTTTGATGCTAACACTTCGGCAGGAGCCCCTGGCACCATATTCACCACCTTCTTTAGAAAAAGAATCCAAGCCTGGGGGCAAACACCAGAGCCAGCACACTATAGACAAGAGGGCAGTAAAACTTCTGGCAATCCTTTACACCACAGCCTGAAACTGCTACTGGTCCCAGGCCTGATGATCCCTGAGTAACCCCCATCCCCAAAGTTAGGCTGGGAATATCACTACTTAGAGCTTTAGTGTTCTCCTGCACTGTACGTTTTTCTGCTCTGTTTGATTTCTCCATATCCCCAAATCCATCTGCTTTATCTATTCCAGAAGTTACTCAAAATTACTGATCTACTGATGAGACCCCCTCACCTATTTTCTGTCTTTGGTTTAGGCTCATTGTCATTTTTGTATTACATGGCAGGACCATTTCACTAAGACTTTGGGAGAGAGAGGAAGTACATGTATGGCCTTAGGCCATCATCTTGAACCCCAAGTCTTAACACAGTATTTACTGAATGAACTTTACATCAGATCTTTGTAGTTTGGAATGCTAAATCCAAACAATACAAAAAAGCACTTACAGGCCAGGTCTAGGGAGCATGGTACTGACATGATCTGGAAAGCTACCTGGGATTCCAAATACATGTTATGCCTTGTGATACTGTCCCACACTCACTGAACTCTACTCTTTTTTTTTTTTTTTTTTTCAGTCTTTTTTCTCTATGTCCTTCAGACTGGATAGTGCCTTACTGACTGGTCTTTAAGTTCACTAACATTCTGCATCTCTACTTTGCAGTTTAAATGACCGAGTAAACTTTTGGTATTAGCTGTTAAAATTTTCAGTTCAAAAATATGTTTTAGGTTCTTTTCTTTACAGTCTTCATTTCTCTGCTGAGATTTGCTGTTTATTCATTCCTTACAAGCAGATTTTCCTCAACAACCTGAGGACAGTTACAATGGCTGCTTTAAAATCCTGTCTACAGGGTGCCTGGGTGGCTCAGTCAGTTAAGTTCAGTCAGTTAAGAGTCCAACTCTTGATTTCAGATCAGGTCATGATCTCAGGTTTGTGAGACTGAGCCCCATGTTGGGCTCTCTGCTCAGCGGAGAGTCTGTTTCAGATTCTTTCCCTCTGCCCCTCACCCTGCTTGTGCACTTGACACTCTTTCTCTCTCAAATAAAGAGATAAATCTTTAAAAAATAATGAAAATAAAAATAAATAAAATTCTGTCCACTAATTCTGAATCAAGATCATTTTGGGGGTAAGGATTAACTACTAATGCTTAGTTTCTTTTAAGAGTGATGAAAAAGTTCTAAAGTTGACTATCATAATGGCTGCTCCATAGAACAACATCTCAATTTTTTAGGGCACCTGGCTGGCTCAATCAGTGGGGTGTGAGACTCTTGATTCTGGGGTTGTGAGTTCAAGCCCCATGTTGGGTGTATAGATTACATAAAAATAAAGTCATTTCTTTTTTAAGATTTATTTATTTGAGAGAGAGACAGCACAAGTGGCAGGGGAGAGGGAGGGAGAATCTCAAGCAGACTCTGGGCTGAGCAAGAAGCCTGCGGTGAGGCTCAATCCCAGGACCCTGAGATCATGACCTGAGCAAAAACCAAGAGTCAGACACTTAACCAACTGCACCACCCAGATGCCCCTTAAAAATAAAATCTTTTTTAAAAAAAGAAAATGGGGTGCCTGGATGGCCCAGTGGGTTAAAGCCTCTGCCTTTGGCTCAGGTCATGGTCCCCGGGGTCCTGGGATCAAGTTCCACATCGGCTCTCTACTCAGCAGGGAGCCTGCTTCATCTTCTCTCTACCTTCATCCTCTCTCTGCCTGCCTGTGATCTCTGTCAGGTAAATAAATGAAATCTTTAAAAAAAAAAAAAAAGAAGAAAGGAAGAAAGAAAGTTCAATTTCTCAATTAACAGCAAGTCCCCCATTCCAAGTGGTGACCTAGCATCTATCCCAAGTGCTAGAATTCTCTAAGAAATAAATTAACTCCTATCAGACTACAGAGACATAACAACTAGTTTCATGTAGTACATGAAACTTGCTTGGATCCTGGTTCCTAGAGAAAACTATAAAAGACGTTTTGGGGACAGCTGAGAAAATGTGAATATGAGCTATTAAATGATACTAAGGAATTATACCAAATTTTTACTAAATATGATTACAAGGAGAATATTTAAGAGTCACATACTGAAATATTACATGTCATAAGGTCTACAACTTACTGTCAGCTGGTTCAGTTAAACACACACATGCACACATGGAAGGTGAATACTGCAAAACAATAACTGTCAAATCTAGGCAGTGGATACTAACATACCATGCTGCCAATATTTCTGGATATTTGAACTTTTCATTTCAAAAAATTGGGGGGAGAAGCTATATAGCTAAAAGAAATTTTATTCAGGATTTTCAGCCACCTCAAAATTAAAATCCATATGTTAACATAATTTTTGTTTTGGCAATGATTTTTCATCCCAGGAATCCTTATCAGCTAACATTTTTCTACCTACATCCTCAATTACCACAAGATGTCACTCTTTTCCATGTTCAAATCAAAGTCTTACAAGGGAAAAGGCTTTTTTTTATCAGTACTAAATGAAAAATGCACTCAATTTCCAAGTTAATCTGAAAAACTTTAGAACCTTTTATATTTAGGAAATAAAGTTAAATAAATCCTCTCAGTTCAGAGATAATGAAATACAGACTAGCTATAAATGTTAAACTGAAAGTACTGGGTTTTTAAAAAGATTTTATTTATTCATTTGAGAGACAAAGAGAGCACAAGCAGAGGGAGGAGCAGAGGGAGAGGGAGAAGCAGACGCCCCGCCCAGCCAGGAGCCCGAAGTGGGGCTCGATCCCAGGACCCCGAGATCATAACCCAAGGCGAAGGCAGGTGCCCAACCAACTAAGCCACCCAGGCACCCCTTAAACTGAAGTTTTTAGAAACTTCAGGTAAGGACGTTTTATCTGTTGGGCTATCGTTATCTCTAAGAAGAGTCCCCTGGTCAGCTACTTCAGTATCCAAATGTCTCAGAATGTTCCAAATAACCCTGGGGTCAATCCAGAGAATCAGAGCCAACTAGTCAGAGCCTAGAACTGCCACACGTTTATAGTACTCCTGCAGATGACCCACCCACTCTCTCCTGGAACTAGTTCAAACCTCCCCAGGGCGCCTGGGTGGCTCAATCAGTTAAGTGTCTGTCTTTGGCTCAGGTCAGGATCCCAGGGTTCTGGGACTGAGGCCAGCACTGGGCTCCTTGCTCAGTGGGAAGCCTGCTTCTCCTCCCTCTGCCTGTAGCTCCCCCTGCTGTGTACTCCTGCAAGCGCTCTCTCTTTCTGTCAAATAAATAAATAAAATCTTTAAAAACACAACACAACACAAAACAAACCTCCCCACCTCTGCACCCACAGCACATGGGATCTGGCCCAGCACTGTGTCTGCTTATTAATTCTCTGTCAAGGAATAACACACTGTCAGAGCCCAATGAAGCAATATCATAAACCACAAAATTTAAAAGCTTTAACTAATGTATCCAAAAACAGTTATTCCCATTCTCCCTGTCCCCACCCCCACCTGGGTATCATTGAAGTGTACTACAACTTAAAATTTGTTAACATCTGAGGAATCTGGATGAAGAATACATAAGAATTTCTAAGATGCATTATTTGGAAATTCCAAATTTACAAAAAGGTGCAAAAACTGGTACAAAAAAGCACCCATATGCCATTTTCTTCAGATTTATCTATGTTAACAGTTTACCCATCCGTTTTCATCATTTGCTATCTTGTATCCCTATTTATCTGTCTCTATCCACCTATCCCTATTGTTTTTCCTAAACCTTTAAGGATATACATCATGGCCTTTTACCTCTAGCTATTCAGATTGTGGTTCCTAAGGATAGAAACATTTACTTACATAAACACAGTATAGTTATCAACTTCATAAGTTTATACATATGTTTATCTAGCATCTACTTTTGACCAGTTTTGTCATAACATCCTTTATAGCATTTTCCCTATAGCACTAGACCCAGTCTAGGCAAAGGTATTTTGTTTAATTGTCATGTCTCCCTAGGTCCCTTAATCCGGAACTTTCCCAAAGACTTTTATGACATTGGCATTTTTTAGGAATACAGCACCACCCCACTTGTGTTTTTAGTAAAACATTCTTTATTTTTTGTTTAATGTTCTTTATGATTAATTGAAGTTATGCCTCAGCAAGAATATGGCCTAGCTGATGCTGAGTCTGACTTTGTGTGCCTCTGTCACTTACACAATCACCCAAAGTGCTGCCCAATTTTTCCACTATATAATTTCTGGTTGTTTCTTTTTCCTCACTTGCAACATAACAAACAGTCTGTGGGAAGCCATTTTAAGATCACCCAAATTTCTGCTCCTCATCAAATTGTCAACACAGAAATGCTTTGTACTATTTTTATAACTTTTTTTATAAGTCTGAAATAATCATAAAATAGTTTCAAAAAACATAGAGCAACTTAAAATTAGAGTTTCAATTCTATCAGATCATAAAATCTCCTTGGTAGGGAGGGAAATCAGACAACAAATAAATACCTGTGCCTCAGACATAAGATTATGAAGGACAGATTTCTTTGGTCTCAGTATACCTGCAATCACTAAAAATAAACAGTAAATGGCTTTTCCTAAGACCTAGAAAAATATAACAATCAGCTTTTCCTTTAAATGATTTTCTGTAACAAAACAGTTTTAAAGCAACGCTGCCACTTAATAGTTCTTCCTTAGGAACAAAACATAGCAGTCCAAAGACTACTGCTTAATGTGTGATATATGCTTGGCCACATACGTACTTCTGCTGGGCACTGTCTACTGAACCTGCATCTCTGCAGCAGTCAGAGCAACCAATTTTCCTTCTGTTACCGAATGCAAACTATCCCCTCTCATTAGGATGGGTAGGACAAAAAGGAATGAAAAGTTCCCCCAACACTTACTCTCTAAATCAGAAATAATGAGGTTGTCATGGAGTTTCACGGCTCGGTGTTGTTCTACTTCATCTTCAAGTTCAAAGATGGTTTCTTTCATGTCGCTCCTCTCTGTCTCTTTTTCTTCTAGGTCTGATCTTAGTTTCTCTAATGTCATATTCAATTCTTCTATTTGTTTCTTAGCTTCTTCTTGGAAGGCTCGATATTCATCTTCTACCTATACAGAATCAATGGTGCAGATTAGAAAAGTAAGAGCTGCTCTAAGAAAAATTCTAGAATGGAAGTATATATTGTTCCAAAGGAAGCTAAGCATGAACTGCTAGGTGAAAACTAAAACCACCTGTGTAATAACTGTCTGAAAATATAAAAAAGCATTCTACAATAATATACGATTTTATGTAATGTTCTTAAGCATAATTTGTTGCTACATCACTGACAAATTATATTGACATATCACTGAACTTAACTAGATCATTTATGAGGAAATTTTGGAAATTCTTCCTTCTCCAAAGTTTGGACCAAAGGCATGCATTTGATTAAAGATTTCGTTTATTTATTTGACAGAGAGAGAGAGAGACAGAGACAGAGAGATCACAATAGGCAGAGGGACAGGCAGAGAGAGAGGGGGCAGCAGGCTCCCCGCTGAGCAGAGAGCCCGATGTGGGGCTTGATCCCAAGACCCTGAGATCATAACACAAGGCGAAGGCAGAGGCTTAACCCACTGAGCCACCCAGGCGCCCCAGGCGTGTATCTGATTAATAATTAACATCCTCTCCTATTAAAAAAAAGAGTTTTTTTAATTAATTTTTTTAAAAAGTCTGATGTGTGACAGTTTCATTACCAAAATAAAAATGGAAACAAATTCTCAAATATTGTCATTGCAAAAGAATCAGCTCCATGTGCCCTCCAACACATATGCTCCAACAAATAATACATTCCCTAAATTGTATCTCTAAACATCACTAAAAAAATTAAGATCTAAATTATTTGAATTTTAGGGTGCCTGGGTGGCTCAGTGGGTTAAAGCCTCTGCCTTCGGCTTGGGTCATGATCCCTGGGATCAAGTCCCGCACTGGGCTCTCTGCTCAGTGGGGAGCCTGCTTCCCTCTCTCTCTCTCTGCCTGCCTCTCTGCCTACTTGTGATCTCTCTCTCTCTCTGTCAAATAAATAAATAAAATCTTCAAAAATAAATAAATAAATAATTTGAATTTGGGCCAAAGATATACTAATGTTTCTTAGTTTAAAAATCACTGCATTAAAATAGGAAATAAAATGTAAGAGAGAATATTTGGATCAACGCATGCAAATAAATCCTGCATCAGCAATCACATGGGGCACAGACCCTTGGCTGAAGTGCCAGCAACCCCAGGCAGTAGTTCTGCATGTGTCCTCATTATCATAGTAGGTGTAAAACAAGGGGGCTGGACCCATGATCTCTAAGGTCTTTGCCAGCAATAAGACCTAGCCCTCTAAGGAACAGGGGCCTCCATACTCCAAAAATATTTTAACTCGAAAGAGAACTCTATTTGAAAAACTAAAATCACAGGAAAAGGGGTAGACATTGGGGAATCCCACAGAGAGGTCTACTGGCTCTCATCTCTCCTACACCAAAATAGGTCATTAGAGATGAGGAGATAAAATTGCTCGATAGGATTCCCTAGGCACACCCAGACTAGAGACAAATTCTGTTGTTGCCATTCTAGTCCCTTCCTCTCACAGGCAGGAAAAAAGCAACAAAATGCAAGCGAGTCAAAGTGACATTATTTTAAGAATACTTTTGACTGTACCCCAATAAAGAAAACATTCTCAAGCTTTAAAACAAAATCAATCCTAGAACAAGTGAATGACACATCACACTAGTGATACTGGCTTTCAGTAAGCAGAGTGTGTTCTGCAGCTGCATAATTCTGCTCCAGAACATTTTATCCACTTAAAACAGTACCTTTGCAATGGTGTCCTGCAATCGATTGGCATCATTTCGGGTGTGAGCTAGGTCTTCCTGCAGGCTACTAGCCAGAGTCTCTGCTTTTTCTTTGTCCAGCCTGACACTCTCCAGGAGATCCTGAATATCAGATTTGTCTCCAGAGTTATGGATAGAATACAGCTCTGCCACTTTCTGCTTTTCATTCTCTAGCTGAGCCTTCAGGCGGTTCATCTCTATCTGATCACTGGCCACTGTGGCTTTGTACTCCTCTAATGTGGCTGCCAAGGCTGCTTTACCCTTCTGCTCAGACTCAATAATCCGCTCCATATGGTGATTGCGTTCCTTGAGTGCCCCTATCATTTCTTGAGCTTCCTTGTTGTCTTGTTCTGCCATCTTCAAAGTATTGCTTAAATGCTGCTGGACACCAAGAAGCTGCTCTCGTTCAAAACGGGCATTCTCTGCTAGATCCATATAACGTTGCTCCAATTCCATATAGCGTCCACTTTTCACATCCTCGTCTATGACATAAGAAATGTGATGCTCATCGAGAAGGGAGCGGAAATATTCAATCTGTCGACTAAAGTGTTCCAACTTATCACTCTGCTGACATAAAGACTCCATGAGAATAACCTTCTCTTCCCCTAGCCTTTCATTTTCACTGTTCAGTTCCTGGGTTATCTGTTGTAAATCAGCTAGCTCTTGCAGAGTTGCCTGAAGTTCCTCACTCGTGCTGTGTTGGTTCTCTTCCATCTGATGTATCCGTTCTGTCAAGCACGCGACGGACACTTCACTCGCGTTACCACTGCTCCCTTTCCGGGATCGCTCTATGCTCGGAAGGCCTTCGGACTCTGAGGACGATGGTGCATCCAGGGCATCATCGCTCGACGTGAGGGGCTGGTACACCTCACTGCACTCGCTGTCTAGGTTGTCCATAGAGTTACTGTGCTGATGGTCCATGAGGGTGTTTTCATCCTGGCTCAAGAGATCCTCCACGGAACCAGGGGCAGAGCCTTCCACCGAAGAGGTCAGGGTCCCTCCTCCATCGCTCTGATTGCCAGGGGTGATTTCTGGGCTCAGGGACTGATAACCAAACAGTTTTTCGGAATTGTCTAACCTCTGCTCTAGGGAAAAGCCCAGCGCATTCAACCTGTCCTTTAACATTCTATTTTCGTTTTTGAGCTGGTTGAGTTCTTCCCGGATGGCAGTATTCTGTTCCTGCAACTGCAGTAAAGTGGACTCCACGTCAGTTGGCTGGTGAGCAATGATGGCTTCCTTCTCCTCAGATTTTTCATCACCCTCGGAATGATCCTCATTAATGCCCAGCTGAGCACGCATGTCTCGGAGTTCATTTCTCAAATGTAATATTTCCACGTCTTTGGTTTTTGCCAGTGTGAGAAGATCTTTCACTTTGGCTTCCAAAGCAGCTTTGTCACTGATTTGGTTGTCCGACTTAGACTTGCTCATGCGAACATCACATTCCGTAGCTGTGCGACTGCGCGAACGCTTGGCCAATGCCACGTCATTAGCTCCCTGACCCGCAGAAGGTAGTTTTTTGCTCTGGTTTAGTCGGGTACGCTCACGTAATCTTTCTCTAGTAGAACCAGATTCTTTATTACCTATGGAAGTGCTCCGCTTGGTTGAAGAACTTGTACCTAAATATTTAAAACAAAGAATGTAATGCAAAAATATTAGCAAGAAAAGGTACAAAGGTTATGCCCGAGGTCTAACCAGATGAAATCTAGAGACCTACGCATTGATTCTGACCGACGTCCATCTTGCCTTAGATTCTGGTTACTGTAAAATTCCGTTTCCTCAAAACCAGATCATTCATCTTTTAATTATTAATGAAAAAGAAGCTATGCACTGAATTGTATATTTTACAAAGGTGAATTTTACAAAATGCGAATATATCCCAATAAATCTATTACATAAAAAAAGCTACACATTAACTTGAATCCTACACCATGGCTAGAGAAGTGGCCAGGGGCATAATAGTCTAGGGTAAGCTAGATGAAGCAAATTCTAGGATTAACCAGTCAGGCAGCAAATTAACTGTAGAAGCGGATGGTAAAGAAAGAACAGACAAGCAAGAAGGGAAAAGCAGCTTCCAGACAAACCAAAAATCTAAGCTACCTATGATAAACACAAAAAGTATGATCAAAGTAAGTGCAAAAAAAGTTTTTCACATCATAGAATGCCACATAAATAATACCAGTAACATTAATTATAATAAGGCTAATGTGTACTTAGCACTTACTCTACACACACACACACAGATGAACGCTTCACATACATTAACTCATATAAGCCTCATTATCATTATCATGAAGAAATTCACACACAGAGATGCTAAATAATTTGCTGACACCCCACATGTAATAAGTGGATAAGCCAAGATTCAAAGGCAGGCAAACGGTGTGGCTCCAGAATCTGAAACTTAAGAAGTATGTTACGTTGCCTCCCTAAATGTTAGAAAACAATAATGTACTAATACTAATGCTAACTAATGATGGCACATTACCAAATATGTTACATGAATCACTACTACCTGACCGCTAAAATTCTAAACCTGTGAAAACTGACATGACTATGGGTTTAGTACAGAAAGAACAAGAATATGCTTACCTAAAAACACTTAGGAAATAATTAGCTGCTTTTCACCTTGAAAAATAAGATCTAGACCTAATCAGTAAGTATTCTGCAAGAACCTGCTAGTTTTCTATGTGTCAGGCATAGGCTGCAGAGGTAAGAGGGAGTGAAAGGGCTATGTGGTATAGGAAGACAGACACTAATTCTGCCAGGGATCAGGTATAGAGCAGGGGAGAGAATTCTGGCTGGCCACAGGACAGGACAACGAAGCAGAAGTGAAAAGGACGCACAGCAAGGAAAATAAGGCCACAAAATGGAAGCAGCAGAGGAAGTTTTTATGGGGCTCTGAACGCCAGGGGAAATTTAGTGAGTCCCAGAGTAAATGTTCAATAAATGTTCTGGAGCAGGGAAGACTCATAGGGAACAGCATTTTAATGAAAATGAATCCAGAGGCTGCTAAGTGAAACACCTAAGGAAGAAGAGTAGTCCAGGAAGAAGAGTAGTCCAGGAGGAAGGTGGGCAGGCAGAGCAGTAAGAGTAAAGGAGGGCCTACATCTGGGGAGTGAGATCAGGATCTCTGCAAGAACCGAAAAGGGATGCTACCTCTGTAATAGATTTACAGGGTAGAAATAACAAGATTAAGGAGGAAACAATTGCAAATGGAGGCTAAATAAGGAAAAGGGTGGTATAACCATAAGTATTCATTCTTTTTCCCATTCTGTAAACAGTACCAATCATTCTTTTTTCCCAAACAAAACCCATCCTGAAAAGCAAAGGATCTGGGCATGCCTGAAAGACAAAAGGAAAGGAGCCAGTAATGAGGGGAAGGATTAATTATGCTCCAAAAGGAAAGGAGAAGTAAATGAACAAGAAAATAGAGAGGACATAACAAAAAAAAGCTCCCCTTCTGGGATTATTGTGCCCAGTGAGTAGATGGAAGAATCTGAGTTACAGACAAGTGAACTGGATTGGGAAGTCATGGGGAGTAAATAAAGGTAAAAGTAAATAAGGTAAAAGTGAAGTTAAAAAAAAAAAGTAAAAGTAAAAGTAAATAAAGGTAGAGAGGATCAATGGAAGAGTTAAGGATGTTGTTAGGGGATGAACTGTGTCCTCCAAACTCCTATGCTGAAGCCATACCCCCCAGGACCTCAGAACATGACCGTATTTGGGAAAAGAGAATTAACTTAAAAAGATATTTATATTAACATGGGGTTTGTTACAATGGGCCCTAATCCTATCTGACTGGTATCTCTATAAGAAGAGGAGGCTAGGGGTGCCTGGGTGGCTCAGTGGGTTAAAGCCTCTGCCTTCGGCTCAGGTCATGGTCTCAGGGTCCTGGGATCAAGCCCCACATCGGGCTCTCTACTCAGCGGGGAGCCTGCTTCCTCCACTTTCTTTCTCTGCCTGCCTCTCTGCCTACTTGTGATCTCTTTCTGTCAAAATAAATAAAATCTTAAAAAAAAAAAAAAAGAAGAGGAGGCTAGGACACAGACACAGAGAGAAGAATGACCATGTGAGGAGACAATGAGAAGGCAGCAAACTACAAGTCAAGGAGAGAGACCTCAGAAGAAATCAAAGTGGCCACCACCTTGATCTCAGACTTCTAGCCAGTTCTGGTGGGAAACTACATGTCTGTTATTTAAGCCACCCAGTCTGTGTATTTTGTTATGGGTGCCTTAACAAACTAATACGGATGTACAAAGCTGCCTCCAGTAGAGGCAATGGATCCAGGGAAAAGATAACTGAATTTAGCCTGTGAAGGCAGGTGGCACTAGTCAGTAGGGAACCGGTACAAATGCATCTCTCCCAGTAAATTCTAAAAGCTGGAAATAGGAAGATATATAGATGGTATTGGAGTACCTAATTTCCTTCTTACCACAAAGGCTGCAGTGTTAAGTGTGGTGATGACTTCAAGCTTGAGATGTGCAGTCCTTGTTCTACCACCAGCTTTGCAGCAACGTGGTACAGTACCCATTAAATATTTTCTGAGCAAATGAACACAAGGCCTTATGCAAGATACTTAAGCTTTAAGCATAGCTCTCACATCTCTAGAATGAGGATAATAATAGTCTCTACCTCCTAGGACTATAGTAAGGATAAAATGGAACGGCGCCTGGTATAACAGTGCCTTCCTCATGATCATACCATATCCTATTATAACTAACAGGGGGTGGGTGTGTGATCTGGAATAGAAGGATGAGTCCACAGAAGATCAAAGTAGGAGAGAGGACAGTAGGTAAACCTGGGCTAGGAAAAACTCTAATACACATATACGAGGGGCTAATGGTCTAAATAATGATCATAAAGGAAGTCTGCTATAATTTTTGCCAATGTGCTTTCATCAGCCGTATTACACACACATGACCTTGGGGCACCTAGGTGTCTCAGTCAGTGGAGCATACGACTCTTGAGGTCAGGGATGTGAGTTTGAGCCCCACATTGGGAGTATGGATTACTTAAAAGTAAAAATTTAAAAAAATAAATAAATAATAAAAAATAAAATGAATACACATGATCTTGTGTGTACTGGAAGGGATGAGTTAATTAACAGACTCCAACAAATCTAAAGCCGAATTGCTGCTAATGAATGAAGAAAGAATGGTAAAACAGGAATGAATGGACCCAGGCATTGATCGTCAAAGGCTACTAACATCTTGGAAGGACAAACAACCAGAAATGATGTGCTTGCTGGTGAAGGACAACTACTGTGTATGAAGGCATCTTACGGGGGAAAAAAGGAACCTGAATCCAAACCATCAAGGCTCTAGATCCAATGACATTAACAGTAAATGAACAAAGGAACATGGTCAAAGACATCAAGGAGATGTGACATCAAAATCCAGATCATGGAAAAATATAGTTCAAACAACCTATATTTCTATAAAAATTAAATTGTAAGAAAAAAATAGATTTAGGAAAGGGTAACAATTATTATATACGGACCTTAAGTGAATCCTGACCTAGAGACAGCAAATACACCTATGTAGTATTTATGAAAAAGTTGGAAATTTGAATAAGTTTTTCTTTATATTTATGATTTGAGAAATTATTATTATTTTAAGGACTAATAATAGTATTGTGATTATATATTTAGAGGAATCCTAATCTTTCAAAGATAATTACATGTTTGTGGATGAAATTACAGGACACTTATAATTTGAGGGAAGGTGGATGTGAAGGAATTAAGACTGGCCTTCGGTTGACAAGGGTGATGAGTACATGGGGTTGAAATACAAATACTTTTGTACACAGCCAACATTTTCTATAATTAATGGAACCCCTTAAATACTACTGCACTCTGCTATTCAAACAAGAAAGCAATTTAACTCTTACTCTGAATGCCACCCATACCTGTGCTGATCTTCGATTTGTTCTCCACAGTAGTCATGGCAGGGGCTGATGCTGAAGACACTGTGGAAGGGCAGGTGCTTTTCTTTCCTTTAACACCATTAGTCACAGTCACCCCTCCAGCCATTCCAGCTAAGAGGTCATCACTGCTCTTGGTCTAGAATAAACAAAAAATAAAAGCAAACGGATTAGATGAAACAAGAGTAAAGAGTATTTTGAGACTACACAAAACTCTTGGCTTTTACACTGAATTTAAGATCAAAGATTTTCTGACAGTTATCAAACAGTACTTAACACTGTGCTACAGAAAGAGAACCTCTTTACTGGTTTATAAACAATCACACGCTTCTTTCTAAAGTATGAAAATCACATACGTAATCAAAGACTTTATGGAAGTCTACTACATGCCCACACATGCCAGAGTCAGTGAACGACAGGAAAGTGAAGACATCCTCTTTGTTACTCTTTCTAGGACATGACTTACAAACAGGGATCATCTGAATGCTATCACATGGGCTCAGAGGAAAGTTCTATAATTCAACAGAAAATGCCATCCTACAATTTCTAGAGGGAAATACCACTAAGAGTCAGAAATGATCTTTATTACTTTAAGGTAAATCAGTGATGGAACCATTATTTTGAAATTTATTTTTCTTACCTGACCTAATTTTTCAGTAGTCTGATTTAAGCCAAAATTGATTTTTCTTAAAGCTCAGGCAATATATAAAATCTAGACAGTTTAAGGTTAGAGTGAGTAGTAGTCAGCCTAAATGATCAAAATACTTGAGAAAGACCTTTTGTAATGCTTATTTATATCTTACAAAGACTAAAAATAAGCAAAAAAACAAGCTTTTTAAAAAGAAAACAAGAGACAACTATACTTCAATTTTAAAAAAAGGAAACAAGCACTCTAGATAAGATCAGGTATAAAATTATTAAAGAAAAAATAGTGAAGAAACCTGTTTTTACTTCTAGGAATAGAACACGGAGGATTTAAAAATCTGTGAAAAAAAGAAAAAAGAAAAACTACTTTTTTTTAATTAATTCATTTGAGAGAGAGAGAGAGCACAAATGCAAGGGGTAGAGGAGATGAGAGAGAGAGAATCTCAAGCTGACTCCACCCTGAGATACCACCACCCTGACATTAAGACCTGAACAGAAACCAAGAGTTGGATGCTCAACTGAGTAAGCCACCCAGGCACCCCAAGAAAAACTACTTTTTAAATAAAAGAGATCCAAGAAGTTTGTCCCATTAAGGTGAAAGCATAAGTCAGCCAACTAATTTACTACTCTTGTCTACTTGGAGCCACGCAACCATAATAAATTCCTAGGCAATCATAATAAACTCATCTCTAACAGATTAAAATGCTTCATAAATTACTAACCTCTGAAGTCTTTTCCTGTTCTAGATGTCAGTAAAGTAGATTCTGTTCTCATCATTCAGATATAAAAGTTATAATACAGTACAATTAGCTAGGTCAATCTGTCTTACTAGAGGTAGAAAAAGATTAATGTTTTAAATGAATTAAACTAATTCAGCTTCAGTAATTAGGATTGTCACATTATGAAAAATCTAGTTATATAATGAGGAAAGAGGATACTGTATTAATCACTAAGGATTGTTCATATTCTTTAAGGCTAGTTCCTGTTTATGAAATTAGTCATCAAGTATGATGCAAAAAATCTGTAAATCAGTTCTACTTCCCTCCTGTCAATTTGTCCCTCATCAATTAATCAGTATATAAACTCAACATAACCTTATTATTTTCAAATAACCTTTTATAGTCCATTAATAGAAGTCAGAATTATCTTTGAGGTAATTTTTCTTCCTCTACAAGTTAAATAATAGTAGCGTACTGGCACATGAATAAACAGTAGAATAGAAAAGAATCCAAAAAGAAACTGCATATATAGACACCTGACTTATGACCAAAGAAGCAGTACAGAAGAAAATGGTTTTTCAATAAATGATACTAGGTCAACTGCATATTCACAAAAGAAAAAAATGAATGAACCCTATTTCATACAATATCAAAAATAAATTCAATGCTTTCCAACTATGATTCAAAATCCTGAATGATAAAATAAAGAACTGATAAATTTGACTACATAAAAATTAAAATCTTGGGGCACCTGGGTGGCTCAGTGGGTTAAAGCCTCTGCTTCGGCTCAGGTCATGATCCCAGGGTCCTGGGATCGAGCCCCGCATCCGGCTCTGCTCAGCAGAGAGCCTGCTTCTCTCTCTCTCTCTGCCTGCCTCTCTGCCTACTTGTGATCTCTCTCTCTCTCTGTCAAATAAATAAAAAATCTTTAAAAATAATAAAATAATAAAAAATAAATTAAAAAAAAATAAAATCTTAAAAAATTTTAAAAATCCTGTGAATACAAAAATGAGAAACTGGGAGAATATATTTCTAATATTTCACAAATAAAGGGCCAATATCCACAATACACAAAAAACTCTTAGAAATCAATGGATAAGAGACACATAGAAAAGTGAGCAAAATGAACAATCATCTACAATCAATCTACATAAAATACAAACAGTATAACCAGTCTAACTCAGAATAGGAGAAATGCAAATTAAACAACACTGAGATACCACATCTCACCTATCAGACTGGCAAAAATGAAAAGTTATGACACATTCCTTTGTGAAGGATGAGGGGCAACAGGCGCTCTTGTAAGTTGCTGGTGAGAACACAGCTGGATGTGGCCTTATGAAGGGTATCCAGCAATGTCTAACAGAACTACATAGGTATTTACTTTGTACCCAGCAACCCACCTCTAGGAATTTCACCTGAAAACATACCTCTAATAATACAAAAAATACATACGCTTAAGGTTACTCAATGCATTGACTTTTTATTAACCTATAATGTATTATTTGTTTCAGGGGTACAGGTCTGTGATTCATCAGTCTTACACAATTCACAGCACTCACCATAGCACATACCCTCCCTAATGTCCATCACCCAGCCACCCCATCCCTCCCACTCCCCTCCACTCCAGCAACCCTCAGTCTGTTTCCTAAGATTAAGAGTCTCTTATGGTTTGTCTCCCTCTCTGGTTTTATCTTGTTTCATTTTTCCCTTCCTTCCCCTATGATCCTTTGTCTTATTTCTCAAATTCCTCGTATCAGTGAGATTATATGGTAATTGTCTTTCTCTGATTGACTTATTTTGCTTAGCATAATACCCTCTAGTTCCATCCATGTCCTTACAAATGGCAAGATTTCATTTTTTGATGGCTGAGTAGTAGTCCATTGTGTGTGTGTGTGTATGTGTGTGTGTGTGTGTGTGAGAATCACATCTTCTTTATCCATTCATCTGTTGATGGACATCTAGCTCTTTCCATAGTTTGGCTATTGTGGACATTGCAGCACTAACCTTTTAAAGATTTTATTTATTTAATTTGAGAGAGAGTGAGAGAGCGAGAGAGAGTGAGCACACAATCAGGGGGAGGGGTAGAGGAGAGGGAGAAGCAGACTCCCTGCTGAGCAGGGAGCCCAACTCAGGACTTGATCCCAGGACCCTGGGATCAAGCCCTGAGCCAAAGGCAGACACTTAATCAATTGAGCCACTCAGGCACCCTTGCAGCATTGTCTTTAACTGCAAAATATTAGAAACACCCTGAATATCATACACAGGACAGTAGCTCAATAAAACTATAGTACATCCACACAAAGACACATTAAACAAAACAAGAAGGGTGCCTGGGTGGCTTGTTGTCTGCACAGGGCTCCCCGCTCAGTGGGAAGTCTGCTTCTCCCTTTCCCTCTGTCTGCTGCTCCATCTGCTTGTGCCCTGTCTCCAATAAATAAAATCTAAAAAAAAAAAAAAAAAAAAAAACCAGAATGAGAAAGACTACTATAAATTGGTATAAAGAGATTTCTAGAATACATTAAGTGAAAAAAAAAAAGCGAAGTGCAGAAACAGATCTAATTATGGCAACTTCTGTTTAACAAAGGGGAAATAACACAATAAATATACATGCATCTGATTGTGCAAAAAGAAACACCTCAAGGAGAAAAACAAAAACCCAGCTAGACTGTTTACCTCCAAGAGATGGCTGGGGACAGAGTAAGAAAGAATGGGGGAAGAGAGGGGCGCTTCTCTGAACACATCTTCTCCTAATTCTGACATGTGGAATGGAACCTTGGTAGTGTTTCACATGCTCGCAGTTAATTAATTAATTAATTAATTAAGGATAGGGGAAAACCTAAAATGGAACACAACAGGAAGAAATGGACACAACTGCATTTCAAATAAATAAAACAGTGGGTTAAGCCTCTGCCTTTGGCTCAGGTCATGATCGCAGGGTCCTGGGATCGAGCCCCGAATTGGGCTCTCTGCTCAGCAGGGGGCCTGCTTCCCCCTCTCTCTCTGCCTGCTGCTCTGCCTACTTGTAGTCTCTCTCTCTCTGTCAAATAAGTAAATCTTTAAAAAATAAAAAAATAACACAGCCACACACGGTGAAGGGTAGAGGAAGAATCCAAGTATCTTCTGAAAACAGTATTTTGACCATAAATCCTCAAACTCTGAAGTTAAGACCAAAAAAAAAGTATACATTTTGAACTCTACCTAGCAGATTTGTTTCTGGCAGTGGTATGGTAAGCAATTCTATAACTATCGCCTACATATTCTAGGATTGAGAAACTAAATATATTATAATGAAAGCCAGGTTTCTCACTGTTGGGAGACTGGGACTACAATTACAGAAAGCGAAAAGGCTATTCTAAACATTGTCAACTGGATTTGGAAGTAACAGCGTGAACTCATGGGTTTTAATACATATGGAAGAAATAGACACAAATTGATACAGATATGTAAGTTGTGCAAATGTCTGTGTGTATTTCCTCTCTGTCTGCTGAGTAGGTTTAAAAACAATAATATACTCAAAAGCAATGAACACACCTAGTTTCCAAAAGCTTTATTTTTTTAATTAAAATTCAATTAATTAACATATAATGTATTACTTGTTTCTGGAGGTACAGGTGAGTCGTCAGTCTTACATAACACCCAGAGCTCACCACAACACATACCCTCCCCAATGTCCAAAAGCTTTAAGTGCTATCCTTCACTAAAAGGAACATGTCAGAATTTAAGGGGTTGCTCAAAAAAGAACAGGAGCACATTGAAAGAACACTGCAGTCTG